AACGTGATACAAAAATGTCAATGGTAACACCTGTTCTTAGAAAACGTAACGTGACCATCTGTTAGATGAATGTGTTGTACAGCCTGTGTGCTCTGAGGGGAGTCTCTAGTTATGGCAGGGGCTAGTGGAAAGTGGCTCAAGTTTGAGACCCTATAGGCAAGAAGGAAGAAGCCGGCAGCCTGTGGGCTTTATATTATTTGACCTGCACAGCACAGTGATGTATATTTTATCATTCACGTTTGAGTGCCTTTAGAGGAAACCTGGCACTCTCTCTTTGGCCAAATGCACTTTCCCTGCAAGCCCAGTTGCCATAATTCTCACCTGATCCCTGTGGGCCCTAATTTAAATATGTACCCTTAAACATTTTATGTTAAAACAGGGTCTGTCCAGGTCTGCAAAGAAACCTATGATAACGTTCCCTGATACTCTGCATGAAAAGGTTTTTGTAGCTTCAGAAACACAGATCAACTTTCCAACTTCGTCTCCATAGAAGCTGAGTCCCATAAACAGACTTAAAATCATTCTTCTAAGCTTAGCTCCTTTAAGAGTCAATTGAACTGGCATTGCCTTAGAGGAAATACGATTTCAGGTACCCTACTATTGGAATACTACACTCCCCACAACTCCCCCAACAACTTGAAAATACACACACGCCCCCATCCCCAAACACTGAGAATATTTCTTTGACTAGACAAATCCTTTCCACCATGAGAGATGGAAAGGTAAATTATATGAATGAGTTTGTCAACCACCTCTACTAGGTGAAGTTGAATTTACCAGTTGTCATAAATGACAAACATCTCTCCATTTGAATGGACCACACCACTGAATTCCTAAAGACTTACCACTGAGGCACTTACAAGGACATAAGATGGAAAGACTGGCTAAATTTAGCCTTTGATATTTATTTCCAAAAGTATAAACATTAATTCTGCACAGTAAATTACATTTGTCATTTGCTAAATTGTAGTTTAGGATTGTAAATAACATTAACCATTTTCTATTAAAATTTTAATCTATATT